GGAAAGAGTTGTGTCAATGTGGAGCTAGTTATGGCAAGCCTCACCTACTGCCTTAAGGTAAATTTAATGCCATAGTGTGCCATTTGAGGGACTGAGTATCTGGTCCAGCATCTGTATAATGTATGGATTGGTATGAGGCATTAGTGTTACTTATGTATGCTGCTTACTAGTTTTCTGCTGTTGTCTACAGCCTGCTTACACAGATTACCAGTTTTTTTTCAAGTAATACCACTTTATGCCGTACACCTATTTTTCTAGCAAAATGGCACCTAACATCTAATAGGATCATAGGAGAGTAGGGCTGGATGGGGCTTCACAAGGTTATCTAGTGCATCCCATTGCTCAAGGCAGGATTATCCCTGACTAAACCATCCCAGCCAAGGGTCTGTCTAACCTGCTTTGAAAATTTCTGGGAATGGAAATTCTACAACTTCTCTAGGTAGTCTGTTCCAATTCTTGACCACCCTCATAGTCAGAAAGTTCTCCTAATCTCCACCCTGAATTTCCCCTGCTGAAGTTTAAGACCATTGCTCCTAGTCCTGTCCCCTACAGCAACAGAGAAAAGGACATTTTCATCCTCCCAGTATCTGGGGGAAAGTTTGTTCACCAGAGCGCCCCAAGGGATGACGACTAGGTTAAATGGTCATAAACTACTGCAAGACCGTTTCAGGCTGGACATAAGGAAGAATTTCCTTACTGTCTGAGCCCCCAAGGTCTGGAACAGCCTGCCACCGGAGGTGGTTCAAGCGCCTACATTGAACACCTTCAAGAGCAAACTGGATGCTTATCTTGCTGGGATCCTGTGACCCCAGCTGACTTCCTGCCCTTTGGGCAGGGGGCTGGACTCGATGATCTTCCGAGGTCCCTCCCGGCCCTAATGTCTATGAAATCTATGATTCTATAATTGCCTTAAGATATTTGCAGACTTTTAATCAAATCCCCCCTCAGTCTTCTCTACTCTAGACTAATTAATCCTCATTCTTTTAGCCTTTCCTTATGAGTCTTGCCTCTGGGGCCCCTAATCATTATTGTTGCTCTGCGCTGGACTCCTTCCAATCCCTGCATGTCCTTCTTGAGCTGTGTGGCCCAAAACTGGACGCAATACCCCAGGTGAGGCCTCACCATTGCTGAATAGACCAGAACAGAGCAGAATTACTTTAACCAATCACCTTGCAAATCACCTTGATTTGCCAGTGTCACTCCTATTAATACAACCAGTCAGGGGTGATGCCAGACTCTTTCCAGTGGGGAAGTCAGAGGTGGGCTAGACAGAAAACTGAGGGGGCTGTGCAGACAAAGGCGGGACACAGGCCCCACAGGCCAGACCGTGCCAGGAGTACTGTGCCTCTGTGGGCTGCAGGTGTAAGCGGGGCAGGCTCGGCTGCATGGGGGAGCCTTGGAAGGAGCAGGGGGGAGTCTTGAACAGGGGTGGTGCTGGGAGGAGTGGCTATGGGGGTGGGGCTAAGGTGAATTTTGGGCCACCCCTGCAACCAGTTGCTGTTGGCCTTTATTTGCAACAGAAGCACACTGTTGACTCGTACTCAGCTTATGGTCAGTACTGCGGCCTAACCAGTTATTCCCCTGCCTATATTTGTGTATGCAGTTATTCTGTCCCAAGCACAGGTTTTGCAGGACTTTGCATTTGTCCTTGTTGAATTGCATCTGATTGATTGAGGACCATTTTTTCAGCCTATCCAGGTCATTCTGGATCCTAGCCCTATGCTCCAGAAGTTCTGTCATTTCACCTAATTTAGTAATGTCGGCAAATATGCTATGTATGCACTCAATCCCAATGTGCAAATCATTAAAGAAACTGCTGAAAGATATCACACCCAGGACAGACCCCTGGGGGACCCCACTTGATACCTCTCTTCAACTAGACATACAAAACCAGTTATGTATCCACCTTACAGTACTTTCATCTAGTCCAAGGGTGGGCAAAATGCGGCCCGGGGACCGGATGTGGCCCCCCAGGCCATTCTATCCAGCCCACATGGCCCCTAAAAATTTAGAAAATTAATATTTATCTGCCCCTGGCTGCCTGTCATGCGGCCCTCGATGGCTTGCTAAAACTCAGTAAGCGGCCCTCTGCCCAGAATAATTTCCCGCTCCTGATCTAGTCTGTATTTCCTTAGCTTGTTAATGAGGATGTCATGGGAGAGAGTGTTAGAAGCCTTGCTAAAGTCATGTGCTTTCCCCAGTCCTCAAAACCTGTCACTGTCATAGAAGGGAAATCAGGTTGGTCAGGCATGACTTGCTCTTGGTGCATCCATGCTGGCTGCTTCTGATCACATTGTTCTCCTCTAGGTATTTCACAATAGATTCTTTGAAGACCTGCTCTTGTTGAGGTCAGGCTGATTGGTCTGTAGTTCCCAGGATCCTCCTTCCTTTTCCTAAAGATGGGCACTATATTTGCCCTTCTCCAGTCATCCAGGACCTTGCCCAATTTCCATGACTTGTCAAAGAGGCTCTGAAGTTACCTCAGCCAATTCCTTCATTACACTAGGGTGCATCCCATCCAGCCCTGCTGACATGAAAGCATCTATCTTCTCTATCCCCAGCCTGTTCTTTTACTACTTTAGGATTTTTGTCTCCTTCCCTATCTTTGGTGCAACTGTACTGATCATCTGGTAGCTGCCCAAAATTGTAAAGACTGAAGTAAAAAAGGCATTTAATACTTCAGCCTTCTTTATATCATCTGTAACTAGATTGTCTTCTGCATTCTGTAAGGGAGCTATGGTTACTTTGGTCTACATACTTGTGGGATCCTTTGTTGTGCCGTTTATGTCCCTTGCCAGCTGCATCTCAAATTGTGCCTTGGCCTTCCTAATTTTCTCCCTGCATACCTGTGCAGTATTGCATACTCTTCTCTAGTTCTATGACCAAGTTTCCACTTTTTGTAGGGTTCCTTTTTGAGTTTCAACTCATTGAAGAGATTGCTGTCTAGTCAGGCTGGCCTTCAGTTGTACTTCCTATTTTCCATTGAATTGGGATAGCTTGCTCCTGAGCCCTTAAGAGGGCCTCCTTGAAATACAGCCAACTCTCCTGGACTCCTTTCCCCTCAGATTTGTCTTCCAGGGTATTCTGCCCACTAGTTCCCTGAGTTTGTTGAAGTCAGCATTAATCATTTAAACCACAGCTGGATCTGCTTCTCACAACTTCTCCAAGCAAACCTTTGATAGTTTAAGTGCTTAGAATGTCTTGTTTGTCTGTGTAATGTCTGTGTAAGTGACCTGAGGTTCCCCTCTCATTTAGCTAATAGATGTTAAAATGATTTTTTTTCACAATAGTAATGTAATACTTATTATCTATTAAAACACAACTTAGTGTATTTTCTGATAATATGCATATGTATATGTGTCTGGTTATATTTGTAGGCTTGATTACATCTGTCACTGTAAGAAGTTAAGGGATGTCATTCATGGAAATCTGTTGCCCTCTGCAGAAATGATTACAGTCTTGAGCCAAGAATTTGGAATTCCCCTGACTAATGAGGATTTGTTTGTTCAAAAACCTTCGCTGCTTTCACTCCCCTCATTTGGTTTTTCAAAACAAACTGAGATTGTCAGAAAAAAACGAGCAATACATTCTTTATTGGATAACTACAACAAAAAATATATGCTGTGGAAAAAAGAAATGGAAGATAAAATGAAATATGATAAGGATCACATCCAGGTGAGTATTGTGCAATGTAAAATCACTGGTCTTGAAATAGTCCTAACAGTCTCATAAATAGCTCACCCTAATGAGCAATAGTGTCTTGGAAACATTTTATAGAGCCACCTATGATCAGCAAAAAAACTTTGTCAAAACCATCAGTATATGATTCTGCTAAAACTAAGTTTTGAGCTATTGCTAGTTGGGGGTCACAGGGATAAGAGAAAAGAAAGAAATAACCTAGTGGTCACTGGTGAAGCCAGCAAACATGATCCATAGGGGGGAGACCATTTAATTATTCAATAGTATCCTATATTTTATCTGGGACTAATTCTTTTTTTTCTTTGTCCCTTTCTCCTCTGGCCATACTTTTCATTTTGGCTTGTCCTGAAGGCCTTATAGTAGTCACACAAACCATGCACTTAAGATGAGAAAGTGCACTTTTTTGCCCCACAGTAGATACAAAAAACCCAGATGCCTTTTGCCAACCAGCTGTTTTTAGCTGAGCGTTGAGATTACATTGATTACTGTCTGGGAATAACTGAAAGGCACAAACAGTGAACTGCTGTTCATCAAGTCTGTGCAGAAGGATTGCACACCTCCTGGCTTGTGTTATCTGAATGGGAGGCAATCTCACATATGTGTATTCTTATGAGAAATCAAATTGAGTCATTTGCAAAAACTTCTTGGGCACATCTGCATGTGCATTAATGCACCTTTTCTAACGCGCATTAAATTTAGTACCTCCAATTAGTGTGCATTAGGCTGCACTACTGTGCAGTAGTACATTTGCACGCTTTTTTAGTGATACTTAATATTCAGTAGACTATTTTACTGTGCATTACCATAATGTCACGGTTTTTTATATGACACTTTAGTTACCAGTAAAATAATCTACAGCGCGTTAAAGCTCACATGTAGATGAACCCCCTATTGAAGAGAATCATCACTTCAAATCCATCTCAAATAAATGAAAAGTACATGCTGCACTATGTGCAGCGGATTGTAATAAATAAACATATTTAAGCTCTGTAGAAATTAATGTTTTTATTTCCTTTGGCCTTATTTTGACATAAAAGTCCCAGTAAACCCTGCCCCACTAATCACCACTTAAATCAGTACTTTAAAACACCCCTTCTTTTGTGCCCCCCTCCCTCTCAGGTATTTTCCCTGACCTTGCAAAATGTCCTCTGCAAGGGTGAATTACATTTCTAACACTGTATTTTCTAACTTATAGAGAAATTGATGGCGTATAAAGCTTATTGACAAAGTCTTTTCTGGCCAGTGGCCAATAGAAAGAGCCCTGCTATTTATGAGGACACTACTATAATGGTTACTAGTTGTTTTGTCATGTAACTTAGACTCCAAGTCAGACTAACTGATCTATAAACCTTCTCTAGACCAACATTGATGCCGTATATTTACTCAATAAAAAGGTGAAAAGGCCAATCTTAAAAACTGCTAGAAGCTTTCCTGATGATGGTAAGTCTGTCTACAACTACAGTTCTCAGAGACTGAATTCTGCAGAATTTGCAAAGAAGCTACTTCGTCAGGAGATGGCAAAGGTAAAAATTGAGATGCATATACAATTAAATGCCTTATTGTGTATGCCTAGCTAGGGACTCTTGAGCTGGCAAATACAGGCGGATGGTTAAAATGGTTTACATTAGTGCCTGACATAGTGAAAATGTGAGATTTGTGTGGAATCTTACCAGATTCTCACCATGTAATACTAATTTATGCAAAATACTGCTCTTATGCCACTGAAATGAATAAAGTGGTGTGGAGTATATCCAATTGGATAGAATGCTGGATAGTGGGAAACATCAAACAGTTCACTTTACTTCCCTGTCTCACTTTCCCCATTGTGGAGACTGGACTCTGACCCAGAAGTCCCTTCCAGTTCTCTGTTCCTTGGTAAGTAAGTACCATAGGCTTGAAACTTAGAAGAGAACTTGACCTGCCAGAAATGTTTGCCACGTGGTGCTTTGGAAAGATGTTCCACTAAAGTCAATTACTTTTAAAACGTAGGTATATAGCAAGGGTGTTCAAACCCTGGCCCATGGGTTATATCCAGCCCATGGCCTCGTGTCATATGGCCCAAGGGCCTCCCCACAGGTCTGTAAGTTTGGCAGTGCGAGAGCAGTGGCACTGTTTCCTCATTGCCAAATTTCTGGACCTAAGGGGAGCCCTGGGCCCTGCACCCTGAATGGAGTGGCTGATGCCACGTGCCTCCTCGCTCCCCAAGGCGATGCAGAGGAGCAGAGCAGTGTCCCGGAGCTGGCGGAGCCTCACTTGTGGCAGGCAGCGGCTCTTCCCTGAGGTGAGGCAAGGCAGGGATGGAGGCTGGCGCAGGCTCCACCAGCTCTCGGGAAGTGCTCCACTCCCTGGCCCTGATGCAGAGGAGCAGAGCACTTCTCCGGAGCCAGAGGAGCCCGCACCAGGCTCCAGCTCCAGTCCCTGGCCCCCAGCTCCCGGCCCCCGGCTCCAGCCTCTGGCCCCCGACTCCAGCCCCCGGACCCTGGCTCCAGCCC